CCATTCGTTGCATACAACTTGCAGAGATTAGCACATTTATAAATACTATTGTGTGGCTGGTACAACATTTTTGTAGTTTATTATCAAAAATACCTTATCAGATAGCAAAGAGAGTGGAATGGGGGATTTTAAGGTAGCACTGGGCTCTTTCAGGAGTCCCTTTCTGTAGTTTAGAGCATACTAGTGGTTATTTATGGACTTAGACTATGAGGCTATAGCTAAAATTGAGTCTCAACTAGGCCCCAGTTTCTGTTTCCCCAAAGCAGAACTTGCAGCTTCTGGTAAACTCCCAGTTGAGTAATGTGCCTAAGCAGTAAGGTAAGGAATTGGGCAGTTGGGTCTGGCTGGTCATGAGGGGTCACTGTACCCTCATTAGAAACTGTTAACTAAAGCATGCTGAAAGTAGACTATAGACCAAACATGATTGCCACTCAATGCCTCTTTTGCAAACCACAGCACCCAAAAGGAGAGAGAGAACAAAAGGGAATGCCCTGCCACAGAGGCAAGGTGGGATGGGGGGGATGAGGGGGGAGGAATCCGCGGTGGTGGAAAATGGGCACTGGTGGAGGGATGGGTACTTGATCATTGTATAATTGAAACCCAAGCACAAAAATCTGTGAGTCCATTCAAAAGAACAAAAGCAACCGTTGCTGGCGTGGATGTGGCGAGAAAGGGACACTCCTTCACTGTTGGTGGGAATGTCCACTGGTTCAGCCCTTCTGGAAAACAGTATGGACGATTCTCAAAAAATTAGAAATTGAGCTCCCATTTGACCCAGCAATACCACTCCTGGGAATATATCCCAGAGAGGCAAAAATGTATAGTCGAAGTGACATCTGCACTTGTTTGTTCATTGCAGCACTCTTTACAATAGCCAGAAACTGGAAGAAACCTGAATGCCCAAGAACAGATGACTGGTTAAAGAAACTTTGGTACATCTACACAATGGAGTACTATGTAGCTCTTAGAAAAGATGAAGTCATGAAATTTACATACAAGTGGTACAATATGGAAAGTATCATGCTAAGCGAAATGAGTCAGAAAGAGAGGGATAGACATAGAAAGATTGCATTCATCTGGGGGATATAAAGTAACAAAGTATGAGATTAATACCCAAGAATAGCTGAGATCAGCACCAGGAGGATTACTCCATAACTTAGAGGCCAGCCGGGTATCCTAGAGGAAAGGGCTATTCAGATAGAGAAGGGAGCACCAAATAAAGGATGTTTGGAGGATCCTCCCAGGAGGGGAGATGCATGTTGAAAGTAGACTATGGACTGAACATGTTTGCCACTCAATGCCTCTTTTGCAGACCACAACACCCAAAAGGAGAGAGAGAACACAGGGGATTGCCCTGCCACAGAGACGGGGGGATGGGGGGATGGGGGTGGGAGGGATATTATCCATGGTGGTGGAAAATGGGCACTGGTGGAGGGATGGGTATCTGATCATTGTATAATTGAAACCAAAGCACAAAAAATTGTAAATCTACAACTTTAAAAAAAATAAAATAAAATAAAGGGGGGGAAAAAAAAAAAATCTGTGAGTCTACAACTGTACCTCATGGTGTTTCACTAATAAAAATTTTAAAAAAAGAAACTGTTAACTAACCATTGTCTAATTGCTGACCACTATTGCCATAGGACCAATGCTAAAAATAGATCAGTATATAAACTGCTCTTAACTCTGAACCCTATATAAACTGCTTGTGATTTGAAGTCAGGGTCCTTGTGTCAAGACTCCACTGCATTGGATGAGACTTGGACCCTAGCTTGAGCTAGCGATGGTTTGGGCTAGTAATAAAGCTCCTTTGCTTTTGCATTATTGTGTGTGGACTTGGTCTCTCTGTGACTGGGGATCTGAAACTGGGGCACAACAATAGGTGAATCTGACATGAATAAACTCTTTAATTCTTAAACTAGCAAAAATAGCATAGTAAATACAAATTTTAATTCTAAGATTGATGATGAAAATATGAGTATAATACTTTCATTACACTTCTGAAGTAAATAAATTTCAGTTTTATTATACTGCAATCAGCAGTATAACAATAAAATTTTTAATGGATCAATAGTTACATAGCTCTAATTCTTTGAATGAAAATATCTCAATTTCTCTTTTCCTCTTTCCATAAAAGAAATTTAAAAGGTTATTTAATAACACTAATAGGTTTCTTAAACTGCATTGAACTAGTCTATGTCTTAAGAATGAGTATCAACACAATAGGTATATATTTGAATTTCTCATTTGCAGCACTAAGTATTCTGAAAGAATCCATTAAATATGAGAGACACCACAAAAAGGGAGAGAATTATATGCCAATATCCCTGATGAACACAGATGCAAACACAGATCCTCAACAAAATACTACCCAAAAAATCCATTAAATTCAGATATGATGTAAATCTAAAAACTAATAATTATACTAAAAACATTAGCAGTGACCTGAGTCAAGCACAAATCAATTATCATGCCTAGGAACCATCAAAGGCCTCTCCACATTTTCGTCATGTGCCAGGATTGGCGCCCTAGCACAATGGGTAGGACATTTGCCTTAAATGCCACCAAACCTGTGTTACATTCCTGCATCCCTTATGGTCCCTGAGCATCACCAGGAAAGATTCCTGAGTGCACAGCCATGAGTAAACCCTGAGCCTCACTGGGTGTGGCTCCCAAACCAAAAAATAAACAAAAAGTTTTTAAAAACCACATTGCCATGCAGCTGGAAATGACTCCACCAATCTCACACACACACACACACACACACACACACACACACACACACTACTGCTGAATTTTTTTTCTTTTTTTCTAGGTTTGTAAGCAACGCCTACAAAGTGTTCAGGGAACCAATGATAATTCCTGGCTCCTAGTGGTGTTCAGGGAACCATATGCAATGCGAGAGAGTCAAAAGCCTTGGCTGATGCAAGGCAGTGTCTTAACCTTTGTACTAGCTCTCTTGCCAGCTGTTGGATGCATTTCTGACTTATGAGGATGTCAAAAAGTGGTATATGGTCATTACAAATCTATCAGACAATAAATAAGTATATATACATACACCAGGACTGGAGAGATAGCTCAATGGGCCTTATATATGCATGCATGAGGCTTGGGTTCAATCCTCACACTGCACAGAGTGATTCTGAGCACTGAGCACCATTGGATGTGGCCCCCAGACAAAACAAACCAACAATATATGTATATCCATTACATATCATGTATATAAATATATTTATACATAGTGTTGCAACTTTACATATTTTATACACATTAAAATATGTACAAAAGCTATTTTAATAAGTATAAGGTAAAGGTAAAGGTAAAGGCCCTCCCGTTGATCGTCGATTTGCTCGAGCGGGCCCAGTAACGTCTCCATTGGAGACTTTGTTGTTACTGTGTCTGGCATATCGAATACTCTCGGTAGCTTGCCGGGCTCTCCGAGAGGGGCGGAGGAATCGAACTCGGGTCGGCCATGTTGGCCGCTTGTAAGGCGGACGCCCTACCCACAGACTATTTTATACTTATAACATTGAAGCTTTAGGTCATGGTGATAGGTTTACCATCTATCCTGATATACAGGTTTTTAAAACAATTTTCCACTCCAAGGTTGTTTTCAATGAAATACTAGTTAGGAAAAAGGATGGATAATACAGTATATAACTGAAGTAATGCTGACTGAAATTTTGTTGAAGATTACCATGTACTGATAAAAAATATATATTTTTATTTACTTTGTTGTGGTTGACTTATGTGAATTGGGGAGAAGAGAGGTGGTGGTTCAGAGGGGGGAGTCAACCACTTTCCTCTCTACCCAAGTTGGGCACGCAGAAAGTATGCCTGAGCAAGTTTAAAATCAATTGAAGTCTGGCTTGACCACTGAAAAGGCACAAGACGTTATGTTTCACCAGTTCCAGGTAGTAGTTGTCAAACCACACGTCATTCACACTTCCCACTCAACTCACGATTTTTCTATTAGGTGTGGGAAATGATCTCTGAGACCTGTTTTCTCAGTGAGCTGCAGAACTGACTAGAGTGAGGAATTGCTCTTTGCAGGAAAGTCAGTCCTAAACTCTACCCAGGCTTTCCAGGTCTATTATCTTCCTCAACAACAACAAAAAAATTTCAGGAGGAGACAAACAAGTTTATTTGAGAAATTAGGAGAAAAGGAGAGTTTCATGTTCAATCAAGAACTTCACTATCCACTACTTATTGTAGTAGAAGCTACATTCTACTCTTATTCATTTCCATGGAGTAATTGTTTGTATCCCCAGACTCAGCATCACCTGTGAACTTGTTTGACTTGTGAACTCAAATGCAACCCGGACATACTGAACAGAAACTGGGATGCAGGCTAAAGTTGAAGCAGCACAGATATAAAAGTGTTGGAATAGTATGTGTTCATGCTGGCGTAGTAGCTGTTAGAATCGTATTTCAATGTTTGAAATACTTCAATAGGGGCTGGAGCGATAGCACAGCGGGTAGGGAGGTTGCCTTGCACGTGGCCGACCCGGATTCAATTCCCAGCATCCCATATGGTCCCCTGAGTACCGCCTGGAGTAATTCCTGAGTTGCATGATCCAGGAGTAACCCCTGAGTTGCATGATCCAGGAGTAACCCCTGTGCATTGTCGGGTGTGACCCAAAAAGCAAAATAAAATAAAAAATTCAATAATGGTCACAAATTCTAATTGCTCATCCCTCTTAGAAGTACCTGCCTGTAAAATGCTTTTCCATTTCACCTACCCCTGCGGCTTCACTAGGTCAGTGCTAACGTAAGTACAGCCTCCAACCTCCCGACTCCTTTTTCCCCGCCCACTCTGAACTGGACAAGTTTATCCACAAAGCAGGAAATTCACCGTCCAGGTCCCGACCAATCAGAAGTTTAGATTCGAGTCTCGGGTCTCTCCTCGTCCAGTGATTGGTGTTTATCCCGCCGGCGGAAGAGGCTGAGCCGAGCAACGCCCCCAGACTGACCCCGGGAGCCAATCGCCGCTCGGCGTCCGTGGTTGCTCACGACCCGCGGGAGCGTTTTAACATGGCGGAGGACGCCGTCCCAGCTCCTTCGAGCTCGCGCGGCTGTGCTGACGGCAAGGATGCGGACCCTGGGGACGAGCTGGCGGCACAGGAGACCCGAGAGGGCCAGGACCAGGTCGACCTCAAGGAACTGCTGGAGGTCGCGGTGCCGGCGGGGGACCCCGAGGACGAGGAGGACGCGGCCTTGATGGCCGAGGCCGAGACCGTTGCCTCGGGCTGGATGCTGGATTTCTTCTGCCTCTCCCTTTGCCGCGCCTTCCGCGAGGGCCGCGCTGAGGACTTTCGCCGGACCCGCGACAGCGCTGAGGGTGAGTGAGGGGCGCGCGGGGCCGAGGGCTCCCCCGATTTCCCACGCCGGTTTCCTGGGGGGGCGGGGGGGCGGGGAGAGGGTCGGGAGGGCCGAGTGGGCCGAGTGACGCGTCGATTTCCAATCCTGCGACTTCGGGTAGGAGTCCCCGCGTTTTTTTTTTTTTTAACCGCCGTAAATTGCGACAGCAAGGAGGACATCCCTCAACCCCCCCAGTTCTGAGGCGGGTGAGGCATTAACGGAGCAGAAGTGCATCTGGCCATTCCAGAGCCCAATTTTTCTTTTTTCTTTCTTTTTTGGGGGAGTAGTCACACCTGGCGATGCACAGGGGCTACTCCTGGCTCATGCAACTCAGGAATCACTCCTGGCGGTGCTCAGAGGACCATATGGGATGCTGGGAATCGAACCCGGGTCGATCGCGTGCGAGGCAAACGCCCTACCCGCTGTACTATCGCTCCAGCCTCTCTTTTTTTCCTTTTCTTTTCCTTTTTTTCCCCTTTTCCTTTGCCATTTGTCTTCAGTGTCTGTTACTCGGGTGGCGTGCATTCCACTGGGGGAGGGGGAATCACGTCGAATGACGTCGCTGCATGCTAACCCGAAAGCGTCACTTTTCAGACTTCTCTGCGCTCTGCGCGTCCTCTGCAAAGAAGGAGGCGAGAACCATCAGCTTTGCGAACGTCCTGTCTGAGCTGTTCAGCCTAACGGGGGATGGGGGGGAGGTGCATGGGTGGTGATAGGGGGCTGGGGGAGGGAGAAGGATCTAGAGAACGAGCCTGGGCCTCTTTCTGCTTGTGTGAGCAGACACTGCCCGCGTTTCTGCATACGCCTAGCGCCTTGTTCCGTGCGGGGCCATGGGACCCCCTAGCAGGAAGCGGGGACGGCAGACTTGTTGAGAGAAACGCACCTCTGTGGGATCTGGAACCAGAAATGGACGAGGGAAGGCTGGAGAGTGAGGGAAGTGCCCCATCACTCACTGCAGCGCGGGGAGGGGGTTTCATGCAAAAGGACCCCCCCCCAAGGGCCCCGTTGGAAACCACCCACGCAGGCAAAATAAGTCGTCTTCGAAGCCCACCCATATAGAAGATAAATGTCCGTGAGTTGATAATTGACACGGATCCACGTGAGAAATGGCAAATGCCCCATGCAGGAAGGTTCTTGGATAGAAGCCTTCCCTGCTCTCAGGCAGGTGGAGCCTCGAGCCCTGTTCTTGCAGTGGCAAGGGAGGAGAGAATAGTTTCACAGCAGGAGACGCCTAATAAATATCGCCCCACAGGTGAGGAGGGTTGGTCATCCAAAGTACTAATTGGTAGTATGGAAGCCATTGATGTCTTCTGATGAAATGGAACTGTACTTCTTTTATGGGTTCCGTATATATTTTTGGTCACACCCAGGGAGTGGTGCCAGCGGCAACTTTTTTTTTTCCCTTTATTTTATTTTATTTTTTTTACAGTTGTAAATTTATAATTTTTTGTGCTTTGGTTTCAATTATACAATGATCAGATACCCATCCCTCCACCAGTGCCCATTTTCCACCACCATGGATAATATCCCTCCCACCCCCATCCCCCCATCCCCCCCTGTCTCTGTGGCAGGGCAATCCCCTGTGTTCTCTCTCTCCTTTTGGGTGTTGTGGTCTGCAAAAGAGGCATTGAGTGGCAAACATGTTCAGTCCATAGCCTACTTTCGACATGCATCTCCCCTCCTGGGAGGATCCTCCAAACATCCTTTATTTGGTGCTCCCTTCTCTATCTGAACTGCCCTTTCCTCTAGGATACCCGGCTGGCAGAGGCAACTTTTGATGCAGAATTCCTGGCACTGTGTGGGACTGGGAATCCATCAATCCCCAGATCTCCATTTGCCAAGCGTGTATTTCTGCCCTTTAAGCCTATTTCCTGGCCTGGAATTTTCCTTTCACCTCTCTTCAGAACCTGTGAGCCTCGCTCTCATTATGAGAAAAACTTCAGACTTATCCCAAGAGAGGGAGAGTCTACAAAGTTTATGACCGTTACCCCTCAGAACTGTCATGATCATCAAAATAAGTGCATAGGGCACAATGACTAAAGGTAATGGGGTGTTCTAGATAGGATCTTGCAATAGCCAGATGACATGAAGTACAAACTAAGGAAATCTGAAAAAAGCATGAGCTTTAATAATAACGTTGCTATTGAGTCATTGATTTCACATATAAACTGTTAATCGGGGAACTGGGGGGAATGCTAAATGGGAACTCTGGTATTTTTATAATTCTGTAAATGTAACCTCCTGTTAAAGTTAAAGCTCACTTTAAAAAATTATATTAACTCCTTTGGATCAGCAGAGTAATCAAACCACTCTCTTTAAGGGTAAGGACACTGAAACCACAAAGAGTGAGCTATTTCCTGCATTGCTAACCAGTGACTGATGGGGGCAAGTGAGAAACATGTTGAAGGAACTTGGGCTTGAAGAGCAAGCCCAGTTAATTGTAACCTTTTAATATATGTCAATCAAATTCAGTAAAGTATAATGCTAATAGAACGTTCCATTCTTAGTTTAAGCACTAGTCTCCGAGAAGCCTCCTTAATCCTTTTCTCCAAAAATCTACAGAATACACTATAAGGTTTTTTTTCTTTTCCTTTTTTTTTTTTTTTGGTTGTTGTTGGGTTTGGGGTCGCACCTGACTGTGCTCAGGGCTTACTTCTGGCTCTGCACTGAGGAATTGCTCCTAGTGAGCCTTAGGAGACACTGGGGATCGAACCCAGGTTGGCCATGTGCTGGGCAAGTACCTACCAACTGATTCATCACTACAGCCCCTAGGGTGTCTGTCTCTCCCCCACCCCAGCCCTCACCTCCTGCCTCCTCAGGGCTTATTCCTGGCTCTCTGCTCAGGGATCTTTCTTAGTTTTACTGAGGAATTGAACTCAGGTCAGTTGTGTGCAAGGCAAGTGTTTTATCTACTGTCCTAAATCTCTAACTTTATGATGGGATTTATTTAGGTTTATGTTCTTTACTAAGAATGGAACATATATAATCACAAATGATTTCTTCCATATTCTTCTGTACTTTTTCTGTATTTTTTCAGGTTCTCCACAGTTTCACTTTAGTTTTTCTCTGCTTTGTTTTTGATTTCTACATTGTAATAACTCACTGAGTTTCAGGATTATTATTTGCTATTATATGTATTTGTTGTATAGCATAACATCTACATAAACCTTCAGGTATTTAGGGAATTAATAATAATAATTTTAAAATAAAACTTCTTAGAGGCCAGAGTGATACTTGCTTTGCATGTGCTCACTCCTTGGTTCAATCTCTGGCACTCATAGGGTCTCCCATGCCCCACCAGTAGTGATGTCTGGATGCAGAGTCAGCAGTTTGTCCCTGAACATGGCCAGCTGTGGGCCAAAAATCAAAAATAATAAAAATAAAATATCTTAAACCAAAGAAATTCATAGTGACAACACTGACAATAACAAAATACTTCATGTGATATTAGGAATATTTTAAAAGTATAGACTCAGCTTTCAATAAGTGACACATTGATACCTTTCACAGTTGACCAGCATTTCTCTTTCATTACCATAGATGTTACATCTGAAGGTAAATTGAAATATTGTAGGTAAACTGTTAATCTTATTTTGTAAGGAAAAGTATTGTTATTGTTATGATTAGTTGCTTATATAGAGCTCTGAATCTATGGTAATTTTGATGTGATATCAAAAAGGATGCTGGATTAGTTTGATTGGATTTCTTAGATTTTACTTTTTGTTCTCTTTCAGCTGTTATTCATGGATTCTCCAGTCTAACAGCTTACCAACTGAGAACTGTATACATATGCCAGTTTTTGGCAAGAATTGCTGCAGGAAAAGCTCTTGGTAAGTATTTTTAATTTATTATTTTTTGTTTGGTTTTGGACCACACCTAGCAGTACTCAGGGCTTACTCCCGGCTCTGCGCTCAGGGTTTATTCCTCGCAGGAACCAGGGGTATATAAGGTGCTAGGGATCAAACTTGTTTGCTCATGTATAAAGCATCTGCTCTGCTTGCTGTATTCTCTCTCCAGCCATGCACTTAGCCCTTTAAGTGACCTCTCTATCTATTGTATTTTTGTCTTGTGTTGGAAGTATCTGTCTCTTTGACTAAAGGTAAGACAAGGAGAAACATGGAAGCTGTCAGTTGTTTTTTAGCATTTGCCCATATGTGTTTGGCATATGCATATAAAGCAAATAAAAGAGCTGGACAGATAGCTCTGGCATCAGGGTCATATTCCTTGCATACCTAAAACCCCTTATTCGACCCTCAGAACTAAAGGGTGCCCTGAGTGCCACCAGTTATAGCCCTAGCTGCCTCCAAATGTTTTTGAAAATGACCCCAAGGCTCCCGAGTGCTATTTAGTAGGACCCCCCAAAAAAGGTAAATTTAAAAAATTATCTCTCTCTCTTATTGAAGAGTGGTTCTTGAACTTTACTGTTTCATAGTTCTAAGGAAGGTTACTAAAATTCAAAATGCTGAGTACTCTTGATTTTTCTGGTTTAGAAGTATGAGTGAGAAACACTGGAATTTATATTCCTGGTAAGTTCCCAAGTTGTTGTAATCATGCTGGAGCTTTACTCTGTTCAATCCCAACACTGCCTCTGATCCCATGAACACTCAACACTGCTCATAATCTATTTCCTGTGGAAACTTGGTGGATGGTCTTTATTTTGGGGGGCGGGGAGCAAGGGGTTGGTGCTCAGCAGCTATACTTATGGCTTGGTGCTTTGGAATCACTCCTGGTGGTGCTTTGGGTTCTGTAAGTGAAGCCAGGGATTGAAATGAGGTTCGTAGCACACTGTGTTCAGGTCTTACTTCCTGGCTTTGTGCTCAAGGATCACTCCTAGGAGTGTTCATGGGATCAGAGGCAGTGTTGGGATTGAACAGAGTCGTCCATGTGCAAACCCCAAAACCCTGTACTATCTTTCTGGCCCCATTTATTTTTTCCTTTTTCTTTCTCCTTTTCCCTTTTTTTTTTCTTTTTAAATAATTTTCTTTTGCCAACAACCAGCGGTGCTCAGGGCATACTCCTGGCTTAGGTTTCAGGATCACTCCTGATGCTTTAGGGACCTTCTGGGGTGCTGAGGATTGAACCCAGTCAGCTTAGCATCAGGCAAATACCATGGCTACTTTACTATCTCATTGACCTCTTCCCCTTTTTCCATTTAAAAAGTGTTGATTTTTTGTTTTTGTTTTTAGACCACACTCAGGGTGCTTGGGGCTTACCCCGGCTCTGTACTTACAAATAACTCCTGATCATTCCTGGTGGGGCTTGGGAGAGCTTACGGGGTGCTGGGGATCAAACACTGGGTCTACAGTGTGCAAGGCAGGTGCCCTATCTGCTACATTACCTCTCCAGCCCCTATTTTTTTTTTCATTTTTTATAATTTTATTTATTGGGTCACTGTGAGAGCAGTTACAAAGCTTTCGGGTTTAAGTTTTGGTCATACAATGAAACACCCGTACCTTCACCAGTGCCCATTCTCCACCCTCAACAACCCCAGAATACCCCCATCCCACACACTCCCCTTACCTGTGGGGCAGACAACCTCCACATTACTCTCTCCACCTTGATCACATTCAACACTCTGACACCAAACCCACCATTATTATTTGAGATTTTTACCCCAAGCCTCAGATCCACTGAAAAGGCAACAGCAGACAACCTGTTTTCCATTGCTGGTCATGAATAACACATGATGTCACGTGGCTGCAGCAGTGGCCGCGCGACCCTGAAATTCCAAAACTTCAGCACTCAAATCTGGAGGGATTTCTGCCAAAACCTGCTAGGTTCCGAGATTTGCTCCTGAGTCTCTGGAATCATGGCCGTTAAGCAGCTTGATCAGGAGCCAGAAAGGCCGTTTGTGGGTGATGACTTGGGGTCTTGTTGGGGTGGGGAGGGTAGGACCGGCTCTACCCCCATCCTGTGAGGCCCAAAATGTCTCATCACTGTGGGCCCAAACCTGACTGTCCAATGGCCTCTAGAGGATGATGGCCACCGAGCTGCCAAGGGGGAGCAGGCGGAGTGGCAACACCCTTTCCCCCCTGGTCCAGCCTCTGTTTTGAATGATGATTTTAATGAGGAAATTTACTGAAGAAAATCATAGTTTCCCTAAATTGCCTCGTGTATCAGTGTGCTTGGTATATACACTCTGAATATATCAAAAAATTAATTTATAAAAGTGACAAAATAAGGTTTCACTTTGCCTTCAAAGGTTCTTTATTTTTGTTTGGTCTTTAAAAGATGCACAGTTTGAAACTGATGAGCGAATTACACCCTTGGAATCAGCTCTGATGATTTGGACTTCAATTGAAAAAGAACACGACAAACTTCATGAGGAAATAGAGACGTTAATTAAAATCCAGGTACCACTAGCACTTTGTGTAACTTTATTTGTATAAATTAAGTCATCATTAAAGCATCATTTATTGGAAGTTGAGCAGTAAACTCTAAAGTATACTTAGCAGGGGAGCTGGAGCAATAGCACAGCGGGAAGGGCGTTTGCTTTGTACGCAGCCAACCCGTATTTGATTCCTAGCATCCCATATGGTCCCCTGAGCACCGCCAGGGGTAATTCCTGAGTGTAGAGCCACGAGTAACCCCTGAGCATGCCAGGTGTGACCCCCAAAAAAAGATGGAACAAAAAAAAGGATACTTAGCATAATTTTCTTCTTTAGAAATGATTTTGATATAACTGTACTAAGAGCTGTGTTTAATGTTGTTGCCTAACTATCTCCTGCCCCCACTTTAGGAAATAGGTGACATCTTTTTGAAGTTATCACCAGTTTTCAAGAACTAATAGTTTTTGCTAAGCTGGTTTATATTTATATTTATAAATGCCAATTTTTTAATTGTTGAAAGAAACTAGCAGATTTATTCTGTTGGTTTGATTTTTTTGGGGGTGGGGGCATGGGAGTGTAAGGGTGTGGGGGTCCTGGGAACCTGGGGATCATGTGTTACCAGGGATCTAACCTGGGTGTCTTGTATAAGAAAAGCATGAACTCAGTTTGTTGAGCTCTCTCTCCAGCCTGCTAATGGATTTTTATAATCAAGTGAATATAAAATTTGAACCATATATGGAGAACTTTAGGACCAACCTATTAAAGAATTATAAACCAAAATGTCATTCAAGATATAGAAGCAGGGAAATATGTTTTGCTGAGAAACACAATTATGCTGGTAGCCGGGAGTAGGATTGCTCAATTCTCTAGCCCTTTGAACTATCTCCATGGCTCCTGGAGAAACTGCTTAAAAGGCCTCTCTCCTCATTTTTAAAGCACATTTTTACTGGTTGTAGGAAAGAAAATCCAGGTGGTTCTTCACCAATCCCAAGAATTATTGTTAGTGTGGTGAATGTCAAGTTTTGAACATGTCTTTTTGGGATACCTTGCTTATCATAATGCTGTATCTGATATATTAATACTATAGCATAGTATCTAGTTAAGATATATTAAATAACAGATCTGCTTAAACATTTTTCACTCACAACCTCTTTGACCTAAGCGACTCAGCCTAGGCGAGCACTGCCAGAAATACCTTAGTGTTTGCATGTGAATTCTTTGTTGGTCCTTGGATATTCAGAAACCTTCTACCATTGCCAAATTATTCATGGTACCCACATTCAGACACATGACCTCATAGACGGTTGTGACCCACATTGTAGCAATCGAGATTATGTACTATAGTATTTTGTAGTAGACTATATACTGCATAGCAAAAGAAAAGGTTCAATCAGTAGCAACCGTGTAGTTACACTTTGACAGAGACTCTAAACACTTTCATTTATATATATTTTCTTTTGGGGGGGGTGGGGTGTGAGGGAGGGCAGTTTGGGCCACACCCAGTGATGCTCAGGGGTTACTCCTGACTCTGCATTCAGAGATCACTTCTGGCTGTGCTCAGCGCACCATTTGGGATGCTGGGGTTTGAACCCAGGTTCGGCACATGCAAGGGAAGTGCCCTGCTGCTGTAATACCTCTACGGCCCCTCATATATGTAATTCTTTAATCTTACAATAATCTTACAATAACCCTATGAAATAAGGTAATATTATTTCTGCCTTTTTATGTACATTTAAATTCACTGCAGGACTGAGAAATCCCAAGCTTACATAGTTCCTCAGATGGAAATAGCCAACATTTTATCATCTGTGATATCACTTTTAAAAAATGCTTAAAAGAGTCATTTGGTTTTAAGCCAGAGATAGCTCTATGAACTAAGCACATGCTTTGCATGTGGAAGGCCAGTTAAGTTACCAGCAGCATATTGTCCCTCAAGCATGCCCCAAGTCACCCCCAGAGCAACCCTGGTTGTGGCCCTAAAACAAGTATAAAAGCATCTGGCTTCCTAGGTTTCTGTTAGAAATATTCCAGGGATCTTAATTAGCAAATTTGAATATATACTAAAACACAATCACAAAACCAGTCTAACCCCTCTCATTACCCTTTTGCTCAAAATTAATATTTAGGTGGGCCTTAATAGATACAACTTTAGGTCATCATTTATTTAGGCTAAATTATAAAGACAATATGTGTACATGTGCCGGGGGTCAAGGAAAGTAGTTCATGGTTTTTTCAAAATGTTTCATCTTTCAAAAATTATTTTATAGCATTTATCAAGTCAGAAATGATTGAGCTCCATGAAAATAAAAATTAAATCTTTTAAACTTACAAGTTATTTTAGTGTTAAATAATTTGATATTTTAAGAAGCAAGCTAAAATTTGTATTTACCCTTCTCTTCTAGGCTATAGGTGTTTGTATGGAAAATGGCAATTTCAAGGAAGCAGAAGAAGTCTTTGAAAGAATATTTGGTGACCCAGATTCTTTCACGGTAATTATTAAATTGAAAATCATAGATTCTAGGATGGTTAGTTAGATAGAAAATAGTTAGATAGAAAGAAAAGGTTAGTTGTCTTTGGTTTTCAGTGAACTTTCTTTTGAACCTGTATGTTGTTCAGTACCTCTAGTACAAGTTTCAGAAGCGTAAGTGTGCTTTTATGATAGGAAATTCACCTGGGGTGGGAGATATAATACAGAGATTAGGACTTGCCCTGTCATGGCCTACCCTAATCTGATACCTTCCAACACATATGCTCCTCTAAGCTTTTGTTTTTTAGGATTTAACTCTTTAGAGCTTTTAGCTGAAACACGATATGTTTATTGGGTTTCTTAGCCATACATTTTTGCTTGTTAATCATTGAAAACTCTATTCTATATATATTTTATAGAAGAGGACACCTATATCCAATAAACATAGGAGAAAATATTTAGCCTAACTGCATTAGAATTAGTAATCAGAAAATGCCAAGTGATATATTGAAATAGTATTTTTCATACATAGGTCTGGAAATAATCTTAAAATAATTCTTAAAATATGGAAAGTTGACTCAGAGTAATTGTTAGGCTGCCATGCTTCACTTAATAATGTAAAACGGCAATTTAAATTTTGGAAAGCATTCTAGCAATCTGAGCATGCATCCCAGCAATTCCACCTCTATATAAATACCATAAAGTAGCTGTTTTCACCATTTCTTTACATTTGTCATTGTTTTGGGACCACACCTGGCAATGCTCCTGGCTCTGCACTCCCGGAACTACTCCTGGGCCATACTTAGTGGAGGTAGAATCCAGGTCAGGTGCATGCAAGCCCTAACTACTGTATTATTTCCCTCTGGTCTTTTTCTGTACATTTTTAATTCATTGAAACATTTAAAAACAAATCAATACCAGGCCCCAGTAAAATTGATGGGACAGAATGAGAAGTTTTGATTTAAGTTCTCCATAGCTTCTACTGTGCAACTAGCATTGAAAGGATTATTGTTCAAAAAGAAACTTGAACGGTGCCCAGTAAAACTGTAGAAAAATGTCATAACAAGGTAAGAAAAATAGCCCTAAATGTTTTCATCAGGGTAGAGGAAAGGTGGCGCGGAGGGGTGAGGGAGTGAGGCACACTGGTGGTGTTCAGTGCTTATTCCTACCTGTGCTCAGGGATGACTCCTGGTGGACTAGGGGGAACCATATGGGGTTCCAGGGATGAAGTCAGGGTTTGCCTTGTTGCAAGGCAAACGCCTCACTTGTACTATCTCTCTGACCTAAAAAAAGAACTTAATTCCATAGCTACCAGGTTAACATGGATAAGTGTCAAAGAGTTGAGCAAAATGTAGCAAGTTTTCAGGACAATGCACATGTCTAAAACTGATATCTTGCTAAACAATATTGTAATCATTTTGGGTACATATATATTTATACCTAAGTATAAAGGAATGCATCACGATCATGATCACAATCATCCTGTTGTTCGTCGACTGCCTCGAGCAGGCACCAGTAACGTCTCCTTTGTCCTACTAGCCCTGAGATTTTAAAAAGTGCCATATTCAAGGCTCTTTCAGGATTAGGAGAATGAGACCCATCATTGTTACTGGTATTTGGCATATTGGGTATGCCACGGGGAGTTTGCCAGACTCTGCCATGTGGGCAAGTTACATTCGGTAGCCTGCCTGGTTGTCCAAAGTAAGAATGAGATAATAAGATGTCGCGCAACCACGAATGCTGGGTTTTATAGTCTCTGGGTCTTGGCCGTTGATGGGATTACATGGCGCCAGGGGTCCAGTTGGTGGGTGTGACCCCTGCCTACTGGAATATGGAGGATCTGGGTGGAGGATGCTCAGCCCCAATCCAAGCAGGCTTAGAGATCTCAACCCCGGGACCCGCGTGCCTTTGTTCCTCTGCCAGTACCTTCATGCATGTGGAGAGTGGTCTCAGTATGGTGGTGGCTGGTTCTGGAGGTCTTTGGCTGCCGGAGCTCTGCTCGGGGTGGGGAGGGAAACTCAACCCGCCCCCGTGCAAGGGGCCCCAGCGAGGACAGCCAAGCGCGGGGGCAGGAGACTCTTGTGCATGCTTGTGGTATATTCTGTATTCAGGATAATGATTACCTTGAAAAAGAAAATGAGTGTTAGAGCAATCAGATTAAGGATTTCAGTTGTACTGATAAAGTTTTATTTTTTAACCTGGGTAATGAACATTTAAGTTCATAATTTTCATAATTTGTAAATCCTAGTATGTATCTGGGTGGAGCGATAGCGCAGCGAGTAGGGCGTTTGCCTTGCATGTGGCCGACCCAGGTTTGATTCCTTTGTCCCTCTCAGAGAGCCTGGCCAGCTACCGAGAATATCCCACCTGCATGCCTGCACGGCAGAGCCTGGCAAGCTTCCTGTGTGGCGTATTTGATATACCAAAAACAGTAACAACAAACCCACAATGAAGATGTTACTGGTGCCCACTTGAGCAAATCGATGAACAACAGGACTACAGTGCTACACTGTGTATCTATAAAAGAATCTAAGATATTTTTAAAAAGAATGTTATTGGTGAGATATTTGAAAAAAATCTTAAATCTTTTCATTGGGTTTACGAAGTGATTTTTTTCGATTTACATATATGACATCTTGCATCGTATTTATGATTTGTGTGTTAATACATTTCTCCTTTTTTCCTTAGCCTTTAAAAAGGAAGCTTCTTATGGTAATCTCTCAGAAGGAACCCTTCCATTCCATTTTTCAACACTTTAGTTATAACCACTTGATGGAGAAAGTTAAGACTTATGTGAATTGTGTGCTAACTGAAAAATCATCATCTTTTTTAATGAAGGTGTGTATATTTCATTGAGTCAATAGAAACAGGAAACTTAGGAAAAATTGTGTAATAAGAAAGGAAAGTGATGAAGTAGAAATCCTTAAAACTATTAGGAGGCACAGGCAAATAGTACAGGGGGTTGGTTAAAATACTTGCCAGTCAGTGGGGCACAGTCACCCTGATTGGATCCCCAGCTCCACATAGTGTCTCCCAAACACCACCAGGAATGATCCCTAACCATCACTCGGTATAACCTAAAACTCCTCCCCCGCCATAAAACAAAACCCATCAATACTAATAGAAGAATTTTATAAATTTGTGACTTTGGGTTTTTTTTTTTTTTGTAGAAGGATGTGGTAAAGTCTTACAGTTAATGAATTTATAAAGAGTTTATTGATGATTTATTTTCGTAATTTTTAAATAAAAATTTTTGAAAGTTGCAGAAATGTTTAAAGTTGAAAGTTGAACCTTGCTTTTCAAGCCTGTGTTCTTCCTGGAACGTGTATCTTTGCTTTTTCTTCCACTCTGGAGAATCCTGTGTTCTCTCTTGATCACGTACTTCTCTTTCTCTCCCCTCACATCTTTCTAAATAAGTTTCAATAAAAACTGACTTGATTCAGAAAAAAAGAAAAATTGAAATTTCAGGAAACATGTCAGAATAAAATAAGAAGAATATTTTAGTTAAATTTGAAAGGGAATTAGCATATTTTTTAAAAGTAAAATTAGGATTGAAGAGCATCCTTTTATATATTTTTTTGATTTTGGTGTTTGGGCCATACCCTGTGGTGCTCAGGGATTGCTCCTGGTGGTGCTTCAAGGGACCGTATTCAGCACAGGGAATCAAACCGGGGTTTGTCACTTCAAGTACCTGTGTCGTTTTCCTTGGCCCTAACGTTTTTTAATGAAGTTTCTAATCTCTTGACTAGAAAAAAATTGATGTTGTGATGTAGTACAGAGCTCTTAAGCAGTGGACAGGGCCACTTCTAGTGGTCAGAGTAGCCTCACCCAAGGGTTCAGTGCGAGGGCCTGAGGGTGATGAGCTACCACCGCCCAGTGAGCCCCTGGAGTATGGGGGATCAAGGTCTCATGGTGGGGGTGCACCCATGCAGTACACAGAAGCCTACACCCTTCCTTGAAATCCTCTGCCTGCTAGGCCAGGGGTTCAGTGTGAGGGCCCTGCAGTGCGGGGATTACCCATATCTCCTTGGGGTGCTCAGGGGCCTCCAGAGCTGCACGTGACATTGTGCAACGTGGCACGTGGCAGGGATTAAACTGGGGTCCCCTGCATTGCAAGGCAAGTACCTTAGTTCCTATATGCTCTTTGTCTCAGTCTTTGACTTTTTTTTTTTTTTAATTTTTATTAGTAAAACACTGCGAGGTACAGTTGTAGACTTACAAATTTTTGTGCTTGGGTTTCAGTTACACAATGATCCAGTACCCATCCCTCCACCAGTGCCCGTTCTCCATCATTTACATTTTTAAAAAAAAAATTTTGTTAGTGAAACACCATGAGGTACAGTTGTAGATTTACAAATTTTTGTGCTTAATATGGTTTAATGGAGAATCTTGATTACTTTGAAGTTTCATTTCAAAATGTCTAGATCTCTCTCTCTCTCTCTCTCTCTCTCTCTCTCTCTCTGTGTTAGTATTTTTTGTTTTGGGGCCACACTGGCAGTGCTCAGGAGTTACTCCTGGTTCTGTACTCAGGAATTACCCCTGGTGGTACTTGTGCTTGGGGGATCTTATGAAATGCCAGGAATCAAACCTCAGTTGGCTACATGCAAGGCAAACACCATATCCACTGTACTATTGCTCTGGTCCGCAAAATGTCTAGATTTCTTTGAAGTAATCTTTTCTCTTAAAAATTGCTTAGAGGGCACTGTATCAAATATATTGACAAGAAAAGATCTCCATAATATTGCAAACCAAGTTAGTCGCACTAAAGTAGCTTCTAATACTATTATAAAAGTACTGGAGAGGAAATTATTTACCATAGAGGCAGACTTGAGGTGTGGGGGGTCGCAGGAGGCAAACGGGGCAGGGGGCGACATTGGTGGTGGAAAATGTACACTGTTGAAAGGTATTATATTGGTACAGTATGACTAAAATCTAATCATTAACAACTTTATAAGTGTATATCAGTGATTCAATTTTTAAAAAGTACTGGGAAAAATAACAGTGCAGTACCCTTTAATAAACATGTGAATGAGTACTTTGTCTACAACTCTAAAATTAAATTTAATTAGACTATGAATGAAAATGCTTAGCTTGATGTTGTTTAAAGGGTGTAATGAGTATCAGGGGTATAATTCAGTGGTAGAATATCTGTGTTGTATATATGAAGCCCTGAGTTCAATCCCTAGCACCACAAAAATAAAAATTGTTGGAGCATTGTACTCCCAAACTCAGTTGTGAATATGTAAATCATGGTGCCTTAATACTATAAGAAAAATTTAAATGCAGTTATTTAGTTGTATAATAAGTCTTTTCCTCTCCCACAATTCCGTTTTTCAAGGCAGCAACCAAAGTAGTGGAAAGTAAAAAAAAAAGAGCAACAGATTCTCACAGTGAACTGAATGGTAATAATGTTGGAATGGAAAATGAGATTAATTTGCATACGGGAAAAAGGTTTGTAAATCATTTATCTTTTAATGTACTGTATTTATGTAAAGGTAATTTAGCAAGCTGTAATTAATAAAAACTAATTGTTGTTGTATTGCTTTACTGATGTCTGACATTTTGATATTTGAAAACTGTGTTACTCATTAATGTATGCAACTCTATGACAAGCAAGTTAAAAATAGAGGGGAAAGTGCAATGTAGTGTAGTAATTCTTTTTTCCATTTTCTATAAACATGTGCTCAATCAGGGTTGAGCTTGAAAACCTGAATCACTTCTGCCTTATAGTTCTCAGATCTCTTATGTCCTCATTATTTGACTATTGCACTGTATTGAGGGTTATTTTCTGTTTTAAAAGGGTAAATTAACTGTTGCATCTGGGCGTAAACTGAAAATAGTGATTTGCTCCAGTGCTTTGGCAGTCGTACATAGTTAGAGGCAAGTCAAAATTCTCTAGGGATTCCCAAGGGTGATTTTTGCAATTTTTTTCACTCTTTGGCTTCAGAATCTAACTCTCCAGAGGAAAACAAAATTTTACTCTTAGAAACACCTTTTGAGCCCATAGTCCTTTTCTTTTGTTCTTCCACCCTCAATACAAGACCAGAGAGTCAGAACCTTTCCATCTTTGGATGATATATTTTGTTCTTGTTTTTGGGTCACAACTGGCAATGCCCAAGGGTTACTTCTGCGACTGTATGGGATGCCAGAGATCAAGCCTGGGTTGGCCTGGATATAGTATTTGACAATGGATGTAATCTGGTTTCTTGGAACCATAATTATATGGCTATGCTTCTTTCCAAGGCAAGCTGCTACTTGCCATTCAAGGACTAATTAAAAAATCATTTGTATGGAGTCTTGCTGAGCTCCTTGACTGGTCATTATTTCTGTGTCACCATAGCACTGAGTCAGCCTCTACTCAAGGACGTGTCTTATTCCATGACATATGTCTATTTATCTGTATCATTCCCTAGATTAAGAATTATGGGAAGGTTTTAATTAGCTTGGAGTCATCCTGGTTGTACCTTTGTTGTCTAATTTATTAACAGTATGCATTAGAATTTACAGTGCTCTCGATAGAAGAAAAATCAAAGCTAGAAATGCAGATATCAAACAAATATCAAATTCATCCTGAAAGTAGATAGACACGGGGAAGTAAAGCAACAGAGTTTACAGTACTGGGACACAAATCAACAGGACACAGATGAAACCAAATCAAAGGGTGGCCAGACTGCTCAGCAGGCTGAGCATATGCTTTGCTTGCCGGAGGCTCAAGTTCAATTCCTGGCATCACATGATCCCTTGAGCACTGCCAGAAGTGACTCCCAAGTACTGAGCCAGGAGTAGCTCTTGAGCACCTCCAGGTGTCATCCAAAGGTCAGAGGAAAATAAAACCAGTAGGGTGATTCTGTGAAGGTCAGGCATGCTTAAAAAAAAAAACAAGCAAAGCCCTCATATTATCAGTAGTAAAATATTCTGTTAGTGGTTATAGTTTGTCTTAAGAAGTGAGAATTGTTGAAATGTAACAATAGTAAGCATTTTCATTATTTTTTGCAACTAGATTTGAAGATAAGGAGTTAGCTTCATTTTTAAGCATTGGCAATGCCTTGAAACATGATTAACATTTTTAAAGAAGAGGAAATTGTCATTTCAGAGTAGAATAGTTACAGAGACAGCATGGAGTGAAAATGGCCACCTTGCATTTGTGAAAACTAATTTTTATGGTAGCAGAGAGAAACTATTAAAAATGAAATTTTATCTCTAGGAACTGGAGATACTGCAAGATCAGGGTGCATGCCTTGCATAGAATTGATCCCATTTCAGTCCCCAGCATCACATTTGATTTCCTAAGCATTGCTGGAAGTGACCTTGAGCACAGAGCCAGGAGTAAGCCCTAGTACACCTGCTCTGGCCTCAAAACAAAAACAAAAGAAAGAAAACCCCAAAATTATATTGGAGACTAGTAGGTAGGATAAGAATGTAAACTTAAGTTCATAGGATAGTGATCCATAGAAATTTTTGTAAGCATCATATGAATGCTGAAGTCTAGCATTAACTCTACTTTAACTCTTATGTGTGGTTAAGTGTGATATAATCTCTCTTATGTATATCTCTGTGCTTCGATATTTCTATATTTATATGTGTCTGATTGAGTTTATCTGTACCAACTAGCCAGATGTAACAGCCATGATATATGTAGATATATGCATGTTTATGTATTAGATATACGCATACCCACACACACATCTCCATAGGTAACCAGAGTTTCCAAAGAATTTCTTTTTATAAATTAAAATATGATTGACTTTATGGGAAGTGCTATCCTCATGAAGTTTTCTTTACGTCCTAATAGTTTTTTCCTTCTTTTAAAGTGTTACTGACAAACACTGTGCAGTAGCTGAATCCTCAGAGGGTACAGTAGCCATATTGAGGTGAAGTAAATTCACATTTTTCTCCTTTTGAAGATCTTGGTTTAAAATAGTTCATGTGGACTTAAGATACCGTTATTTATAAGTGATTTGACTGCCCATTAAGTGGTATGATTTAAAGACTTGGGGAGTGTGGGGGGCTGGGAATGTGTTTCTACCTGCCTTTTCTGTGTGAAGCTGTGGATTTATTTCCTCCTTGTCCCCACACCACAAAAAAAGAAGAAGAAAGGAAGGCTGTGAAATAGGGAAAGAAATAAAAAGAGGATGGAGGGAAGGGAGGGAGAAGAAAGGAGAGAAAAGGGAAAAGATTATCTCCGTAACCTTCTTACCTCGCTGGATATCCAAGGCGCTGATGTATATTGGAATTCCAAGGTTTAATAACCGCTTCAGGCATGCTAGATTGTTTCATAGTAATTCTACAAAGTCATTTTTGAGTGCACAATATAAAGAAAACTTAAATTTGAAGCAGGTATATTAAACATTATTCTCTCTTAGAAAGAAAGATTGGATGATGCGGAAGCAGGTAAAGGATGAAGATTACACTACTAATGACTGGCCTGAGTTCTGACTTTATGAAATTAATTAAAAACTATATTATATAAAATGCCCGACAGGCCATATTTCGTGCTCAAACAGAAAATCTGAATTATTTCCAAAATAGTATATTGAGTGCAGTTATGTAGGGAATGCCTGATTTGATATGTCCTGGGTCATTGGAAATAAGAAATTGAGAGAGTTTTATCTTTTATGACATATATGAGAATTATTATGCTTTTTTGTGGTTATGTGTGTGAGGGTGGCTTAGACCACACCTATAGGTGCTTGGGGCTTTCTCCTGGCTTTGTGCTCAGGTGTCGCTCTCGGCAGTGTTCAGGGGACTATTTGGGATGCTGGGATTGAACCCATGTCAACTGCTTGCAAGCACCGTACCTGGTGTACTATCGCTGTAGCCCCAAATCGAAATAATTCTTTACAGTGGTACCTGGGTATGGAGAAAGTTTTGTGGTTGTTGATGAAACACTTGAATGATACAAATAATGGAAGATGGTAATATACCTCAGGTATTACCACACATAAGCCCTCCATGGTTGAACATTCTTTGTAAGCAAGATTCTGAAAGTGACATTCTTTAGAAAACAGTGTGTGGAGAGCCTCCTCTGGCAGCCCGTGCTCCAAGGAAGGTTAAACCAGTCTTCAAGTCACGAAGAAAAATACTGTCCTCAAGTCAGGCCTCTATTTCAGGCAAGAAAAGAAATAAGGAACTAATAAAGAGTTTGAGAATGCCATTCTAGACAGCATATTACTAGAAGGAAAAGAATTGGCAGTTTGTGTTGAATATGGAGATAATTATGGAGGTTTTTACTTTTGTGAAGCAAGATAGTTTTTATTGAAATATATTTGATATAAGCGGAGAGATAGAAAAGAATAAATACTCAAGGAAGAACACATACTTCTCTAGAGTTGAATAAGCAGAGACAGACATAAGCAAGCAAGATACGTGTTTAAGGAGATTATGGGCTTGAAGAACAAGCCAAGATAAAAATATTTTTCAGGTGATGGTAAAACAGTTTCCAAAGCTTATAGGAATTCCTTTTTTCATCTTGGTATGCTCATAAAACTGGAATAATACTAACTCTGCATGTTGTCCAAATATTATGCCATATCCTATATTTTCTATCAGCCTTACCTTTGATAAAGCTTGGAAGCTTTGATGATATTAAAGTGATCCCTTCCATTATATATTATTTGGGAAATACACATAAGCCATGGGAAAGAAGGAATGTTAAAATACATTATAGTCAGAGAATATTCTGAATTTTAATACATTTAATTCAGAAGACCCCACATGTGTCTGCCTTTGTCAGAAAAAAAAATACCCCCCCAAAAAAATACCTTTCATTGAACAAAGCAACCCCCAGATACACCTAAGACTACTACAGATGCCTGGGATTATTTCAGCACCGCCCCTCCCCCCAGCCCAGGGCCGATGGGTTAGTGTTGCTTATTTTGGGAAACTGGCATAATTGGAAAACTTAATGATTCATGATTTCTGGGTAGATGGGAGGGGGGAAAATGATAGTAAAGAGTGACATATGCCAACAAAAATCTTAAGGGGCTGGAGGTGAAGATGGGGCACTAAGCAAGGAGAACACAGGGAAATGGGCCCATTAGAAAATGCTAGAATGGCAGGTAAGACAGACTGTTTATCTTTCAACCGTTTTTCTAGTCTTTGTAGAACCAACCACATCTTCCATATTTTATTTAGGTCGCACAAGGATCTCTTAGCCAAGTTAAAGCAGAGGAGCCAAGAAGAAGGTTTTAGAAAGAATAAGGAAACTCTTCCAAGTAAGTACACTGTATATTTGTGTGTGTGACTGGAGCGAAGAGAAGCATGACCCAGCAGAGCTCATTGGGCCTGGGAAATGGCCTAAAAGAGCCACTTTGAGGGCCACAGGGATAGTACAGTGAGTACAGATTCCGTTTTCTGATTTTGGTTTCGGGGGCAACACCTGGCAGTGCTTAGGGAATCATAATGTGCTGCTAGAATTGAACTCAGTTGGCTGCTTGCAGGAAAAGTACCTTACCTCTACTATCTCTCTAGCCTCTTGAGTTTTGTGGGGTTTTTTTTTTTAGTTGTTTTCTGGCTGTTCAGCCCCAACCAGCAGTACCCAGGAGTGATCCCAGCTGTTCGCTAGGGACCAAGTTCTAGGGATTGAACCTGGATTGAGACTTTCTTTTGTGTGAGCTATTTAAACATTGTTTAAGCTTTCCTTTTCTCTTTGAAGACTTATGTCCCAAAATACAGTCTGACAGTTACTGTGAACTTGAGAAGACTGAACTCTGCTATTTGTGGAGTATTATAAAATGTTCAGTAGGACCAGGAACTGGAGCACATGCTTTGCCTGTGGGAGTTGGATTCTCTCCCCAGCACTGAGCTGTTCTGTGGCCTCGGAGCATCTCTGGATATATGCCCCACCCCTAGTAAATAAAATGTCAGTCGGTTGATTCATCATGGTTACTGCTCAGGTGTTTTGTGTATACATATTTTTTGCTTATTTGCTCTACATTTTCTGAGAAGCATGAAAAATATTCAGCCATAATTATGAATTTCTGTATTAGTCCCTCAACTCTATATTGCCTTTTTTTTTAATTGAATCATTGTAAATTACGGTTCATGGTCCTCCCGTTGTTCATCGATTTGCTCGAGCGGACCCAGTAACGTCTCCATCGTGAGACTTCTTGTTACTGTGTTTGGTATATTGAATACGTCACGGGGAGCTTGCCAGACTTTGCCATGCAAGCAAGATACTCTCGGTAGCTTGCCGGGCTCTCCGAGTGGGGCGGAATCGAACTTGGGTGGGCCATGTTGGCTTCATGCAAGGCAAGCGCCCTACCATTGTGCTAAAGTTACAAATATATCTATGATTGAGTCTCAGGAGTATATTGTTCCAACACCATTTCCTTCACCAGTGCCCAATACCTTCCACCAATAGCCCCCGTTTCCCTCCTGCCTCCCAGCCTGCCTGTGAAAAGTGGCAGGCACTTTTCCCCTCCCCCACTGCCCTCCTGTTCCCTTCCCTCACTTACCCCCCAGCCCCGCCCCAGTGGCAAGCTTCCTACAGAAAACCTCAACTCTATTTCTTATCTTACTAAACTAAATTTTAAGAGTGGGAATGACGAAAGGAATATACAGTTGACCCTTAAGCAGCACATGATGAGGTGCTTAGGTGCACTTTTTGTTAATTTATTTGTTTTGGTTTATGGACCATACCCGAGGGGCTCCGGGCTTACTCCTGCCTCTGCACTTGGGAATGACTCCTGGCAGTGCTCGGGGGACCATATGGTAGGGGGCTGGGGATTAAACCCAGGTCAGTTATGTGCAAGGCAAGGGCTCTGGACACTGTACTATCTTCCTGACCCTTTGCACACATTTAAAACAATAAATGGCGTTGGCCCTCCTTAGGCTCCATATTCACAGTTAACCAGTATTAGGTTCCTCTTCTGTGGAACATGGAGAACCTGCTGAGCTTGATTACCTCTGAATTTCAGTGTCTAATACTCTGGGAACACCAAGAAATTGTTGTTTGTGGGGAGTGAAATTTATATGAGGATTTTCTGTTGAAAGGAAAGGATTGTTCCTGTAGCCCTCCATAGTTCAAAGACAGCTATTCACACAGTGTTACAGCTACTATAAATTTTATTTAAAGAGAATTTTTGTCATCTTAGGAGGTAAATAATATTGTTGCTTTGGTTTTTTTTTCTTTGAATTTTATTTTATTTTAATTAAAAAAAATTTTTCCCCCTTTTTATTGATTCACTGTGAAATACAGTTACAAAGCTTTCATGTTTGAGCTTTGATCATACAATCATCAAACACCCATCCCTTCACCAGTACACATTTTCCACCATCAAAATCTCCAGTATCCCCCCCACACATACCATTTCACTCCTTTCCCTGCCTGTGTGGCAGACAATTTGCACAATACTTTCTCTCTCTCTACTTTGGTTGCATTCAATATTCGACATCAGTCCCACCACCACTCAAACCTGCCAAAAAGGCAATGCTAGACAATTTTTTTTGTATTGCTTGTTATGGATAAAACAATATCGCACGGCCACAAGAGTTTCCATGCGCTCTAATAATTCTAAAATTTTAATAATTAGGGTCTGGAGAGATCTCTGCAGGGAGCTGCTGGGTTCCAAGATTCGTGTGTGTGTCTCTGGATCATGGTCGTGTAAGAGCTTAAGTAGCCGGCACCCGTTTGTGGGCGTCATCTCAGAGTCCCTGGGTGGGGGGCGGGGCGGCTCCTCCACTGTCCCGTGAGGCCTGGCCTCTCCCGCCACTGCCACCACATACCTGGAGCTTTCGTTGAGTTCTAGAAGATGGCAGCCGCCAGGATTCCTAGGGGGCAGGTGGAATGATGGCACCTGGTTCATCTGGTATGGCCTATGGCAAAGTTTGGAGGCATCTCTGCAACAAGCTGCTCACTTCCGGGATTCGTGTGTGTCTCTGTTGCTTTGATTTTTTTTTGTTGTTGTTTTTTAATCTCTTTTTTAAAGACAGACTCTGGGAGATGATGGTTTGTGTAAAGACATAAATGAATCAATCAGTATTCAGAATACCCTCTGGTTTCAAGACTGAACTTTGTGCTGTGCTGTTTCCAAGGTGAAGAGTGCAAGTGGTGGGGCAGAGGTTTTTTTCTTTTTTTTTTTTTTTCTTTTTTTAATATTAAGCGATAGCAGAGCGGAGCCGGCCCGGTGGAGCCGGTTTGATTCTTCCACCCCTATCAGATTGCCCAACAAGCTACGAGAGTATCTCGCCTGCACAGCAAAGCCTGGCAAGCTACCTGTGACGTATTCAGTATGCCAAACACAGTAACAACAAGCCTCAAAATGGAGACATTACTGGGCCCGCTGGAGCAAATCAATGAACAACGGGAGGACGGTGTGACGGTGTTTTTTAATATTAAATGAGTGGGACTTTCATGGTAACCTGTAGAAATAAAATTACTCTTTCAATGTGAAAGGTTTCAGGTTTCTTTAATGACAGTTTATATCTACTTACAGAGGGAAGAGAGGTAGAAAACAGAATCACCAGAGCAACAGCGCCTGTTTTAGAGAACCAGCAAGGAACTCCAGAGAAAAATCGTAATAGGAAAAAAAAGGTACTTGTTTATCATATTTAAATAATATTTAACAAGTATTAAAGTCACTATGTTGTCATTATTTTGTTCAGCTCCTTAAAACCTTGAGTGTAAAATGTTTTTCTTTGCCATCTTTGGTTTCACCATTTTAAAAAAATTTCATCAGTCTGCTTATTTCAAAGTTCCAAGAAAATACTTCACAGTTTAAAATAGTCTTAAGATAGGTGTTGTTAATATCTAGAGTTATTGTAATGCTGTCATAAAATCAGTACTTCAAATGTATGGTGAGACTTAAATCTACATTATTAACTTTTATATTCAGATCTTTCTAATAGGGATTCAGTTTAAGGTTTGTCTGTACTTAAAAATTAAAAAAAAACCATAAAATACGTGGAATTTTTTTAAAGTTAAAGTGGGTCAGTTTTAAAACTCCATTTCTTTCCCCTCTAGTCTTGAGTTCACCTGTCTAGTGTCTGAAACTATTGTTTCACGTATTTCTTCTGGTGTTCTAATTGTTTGGGCTGGAGCAATAGCACAGGGGTAGGGCATTTGCCTTACGCACAGCCAGCCTGGCCGACTCGGGTTCGATTCCTCCGCCCCTCTCGGAGAGCCCAGCAAGCTGCCGATAGTATCTCGCCCGCACGGCAAAGCCTGGCAAACTACCCATGGTGTATTGAATATGCCAAACACAGTAACAACAAGTCTCAGAATGGAGACGTTACTGGGCCTGCTCAAGCAAATCGCTGAACAACAGGAGGACAGTGCTACAGTGCAGTGCAGTTCTAATTGTTCGCTTCAGTCAAATAAATCTGGCTCTAATTGTTAGTCTAATATGGGTGGAAGTAGTGATTGATGCTCTTAGTATTCAACGTGATTTAGTTTTATAAACTGTTTGAAAATGTTCATGTTGAAGTGTTATGGCTCTGGTCAAGTTTCAGGACTTTGGAGCCCTCTCCTGACCCAGCTTCTTGTTTGCTTTTTCCACTGGTGACCAGAGCAGATAGCCACCACTTTGTCACTTACTTCCTACAAATACTGCTCCTCTGTGTGGTTCCTCATTTTCCTTTTTGGAGCTGGTGCAGATTGGGAAGACTTGTGCTCGGAACCAGGCAGGTTTGGGATGTGTCCGTGCTTTGAAAGAGAGCATGCAACAGCCTTTCTGAGATCTGGGGGCAGTATGGCTTTGTCCAACTTTTTCATAAACCTTTTGTCAGTTTCCACAAATAACAGAAGCCTGACGCAGGTCATAGGGATCTCTTAATTTTATCTGAATTTGGGATTTCATTTCTTTGCTTATTATAACTTTCCAAAGGAGAATCGGAAATATTCACACCTCATGCTATGATTTAAAACTGGAAGTCACCTTTTTTTTGAATCTTCGATGTTTTACAGTTTGTTGTAAAATGTGCCTACATGTACGCACATGTAGATTATAAGATTTTACATGTACTTTTGTATTTTCTTTTTTTTTTTTTTTGCTTTATTAGTCACCAAGAAATTACAAAGTTATTAATGGTTGGGTTTCAGGCATACATTGTTTCAATACCAATCCCTTGACCAGTGCCCACTTCCCTTCATCAGTTTCCCCCTAATCCCCCCACCACCCTCCACCCTCACCTCCAACTCCACCACCACCACTAGTTTGCCGATACAAAGGGCACTTTAAAAAAAGAAATAGCTGTTTTTGCAATGTGATTTACTGTACTGTTGCCAATAGGATTTCGCACTTAACACTTTCCCACCCGGCAGCACTGCGTCCTGCTCCCATTGATCTTCCCTGCACTGTGGCCACTGCCCCCTCCAGGCCCTATCTCCAAGCCCTCTTAATGACTTCCAGTTCTCATGTTCTATGTTTCTATTGTCTTGGAGCAGATTTTATATGTATTCATCCAGCTAGGTAGCTTTCTGGTTTTGTCTTTAAATTGGAAATAAATACCTTAAAATGTCTTGGTGATTGCTAAGTATAATGTATCAAGGTAAAAAGAACTGAGGTAAAATGGCCTTTACTATGATGTTTTATGTTTTATCTATTAGGCTTTTTCAAAATTTCTATAGTTTTTGCATCACAGGCTAACCTTTCCTTGTTTTGGTCTCCCTTTCTGGCTTTGGGTTTCCCCTCAGGCTCCTTTTTAAGGAGCAAACACAGCTTCTTCAGTTGGGGCAGTTATTCAAGAGATCAAATAATGTGCCAAGACGGACCGAGGGTTGGGGGTAGTTGTCAGGAAACATTTGATAGTTTTGTCATTCAGTCTTATTCTTTTAAGTGAGCTTATGCCTTGACTTAAGACCATCTTGTGTACTTCTCAACTTTTATTCCCCCTTCCTGAGTGAGATAGGAAAGCTGGGGTGCTGAAGGATGTTTCCTTTTCCTTCTATATGAGGCTTTAGGGGCCGTGGAGAGGGAGAGCTGAAGTTCAGGTCACTTAGATATTCGAAAATTCGTTTTATTTACGGGTGGTCTTCCTTCATGAAAACAGTCTACAGGATGTCTTTCAGTGTGACTTGTTTCCATTCTTACTAGAAGCAGGAGGGGATTTTTTTCTGCATTTCCCTCCTAGAACGGGGGGCAGCTTCTAGGTAATAAAACTTAACAACAGTTTGTCAGCCCCACTAATGTTATGCTCCTAAAATTTTTAACTCAAGTTGTCATATGGAATCTATTGGTTCAGTCATTACAGTGAAATGTCCCTCCAGTACTGGCTGTAGCCAGAAGTTCCTTCTCTTTGTAAACTCTACATAACTATTTATCTTTCTGACTTAAGGGCAGCAATTTGTCCTGTGATATTAATGCACCGGTGGGTCTAAGGAGAGTTGCTGGCTTTCATTTGTTAAGCTCCTTTCATATGAAGATGTTCCTCTAGGCAAAAGTATCTGCCTCCTAGATTCATTCATCTTTCCCTATATTCTTTTGGCAGCAATTGCGAATGGAAGTGAGGTGTTATTTATAGATGTAAATCACAAAAGCCTTTTCTCTTTTTAGTATTTTAAACAAAGTGGGGGATATCAACCACAGTTTTGCATTCGTAATGACATTAAGTTTAGTAACAAACTGCCTCTATGATGGGGTCCACTGAGGCTAGATCTTCGGGCCTCAGTGAATAGTAGGTTTATAGCAGCTTATTAGTGTAATTGCACTCCTTGGTATTTGCACAATGGTTAAATTGCCTACAGACAAGATTTTCCAGAAATTATGGTATCCCCATTATTAAAACAGTATTGCTGCATGTAAAGAGTAGAATTTAGTTGGTATAGTCTATTACTGTTGACTGTGCTAAAAAAGAATTCTGTGATTATCACAAGTGTCTGGTTTTATTTTTAACTTTCTGGTATTCACTTTTTGGTTGGACATGTTGTTTCAGATGAGTGACAGATTTTGTTTTGTTTGAGATTTTGGTTCTTTAAACATTTTTATTGCAGTACTCGTGCCTGATTAGTGTTTGTTCTCGCAGCATTTTGTCTGTTCAACAAGGGTATTTCTGTCTACCTTATCCCAAGTTTTTATTTTCTTATTTGGCTTTGGGGTCACGCCTGTTGAGACTTGGGGGTTAAGGGAGGAGGCAGGCACGCAGTATGGGTTGCTGGGGATTCAACCCAGGTTGGCCCCGTGCTAGGCAAACACGACACTTCGTGCTATTTCTCTAGCCCCCACCTTATCCCAATTAAAAAGGGCCTTCCTTTTGCAGATTTCTTGAGTTGAAGAACAGAAGTAAATACCTTTCAACAACAGACTTTCCTATCTAACAGTTTCTTTTGTTTGATTGGGGAGGTAAAGAGTTATTTTGGGGTTAGAATTTTTTTTGGGGGGAGCACACCTGGTGATATCTGTGCTTACTCGTGGCTCTGTGCTCAGATCAGTGATGGTGGTGCTTGGGGGGCAGGGCATATATGTGTCAGCCATGTGCAAGGCATGCATTGTACCCACAGTGCTATCTCTCGAACCCCTTGTCTGTCTGTATTTTAACCAAAATGAGTTTGTTGTTGGTTTTTGTTTTGTTTTTTTTTTTTCCTTTTTGGGTCACACCTGGCAATGCACAGGGGTTACTCATGGCTCTGCATTCAGGAATTACTCCTGGCTGTGGTCAGTATGGGATGCTGGGAATTGAACCCAGGTTGGCTGTGTACAATGCAAACACCCTACCCACTGTGCTATCTCTCCAGCCCCCAAGTTTTTTGGGTTTTGATTATTTGCTTCATAGGGCCCTCCTGAGCAGTGTTTGGGACCCTTCAAGCCATTCCTGGTGGAAAACAATAGAATTTAGTTGATACTGGCCAGGCAGTGCAGGCCTGTTCTGTGCCAGAGCCTGGCACTGTGCAGTAGTTTGGGGATATTTGCTGTAAGGATCAAAATTAGGGCCTCTTTATTTTTCTTTATTTTAGGTTTAGTAGCTTATCAAGCTGTGAATGACAAGGTTTCATTCATAACTCATCCCAGTACCACACCCTCCACCTAAGTTCCCGTTTTCCTACCCACCTGTCTTTTATTTTCCCCATCCCATCCCTATAGTAAGCTTTCTACTTAGGATCAATTCTCATTTTCTGTTGCTTTTGGTCACTTGCTATACCCCTACTTTGCTTCTTTATATCCCACTTATGAGTTTATTCTGTGTCTTTCCCTCTCCTTTTAACTAAGCTCAGTTTGATACTCTCCAGATCCATCAATATAGCAGCAAATTGCATGATTTTATCTTTTCTTAAAGCAGAGTAGTATTGCATTGTGTATCTGTACCATAGTTTCTTTATCCAGTCATCTGTTCTTAAACTCTTGAGTTGTTTCCAGATTTATATTATTGTGAATAATGCAGTGAGCGTAGGAGTACAAATGTCTTTTTAGAACACTTCTGGAGCTCTTGGGGTAAATACCAAGAGGTGGAATTTCTGGGTCATGTGGAATTTCTGGGTCAATACTTAGTTTGTTGAGGAGTGTTCGTATTTTCAAAAGAACCTAAACTAATCGCCATTCCCACCAACAGTGAATGATGGTCCCTATATCCCCACATCCATGCCAGCACTGGTAATTTTTG